TCTTTTGTCTGCAAATGTATGATTTTTAGCACTAGACTTAGAAAGATAAATTTACCATCAGGTTGCAGTGCTACAAAGGTTTGCACTAACAAGCAGAGAATAATTTGCGCTCACTATAAAAGGACAGTAAATGTATTAACAAAGGGTAAATAACCCCTGAATCTCTGGAGGCAGCTCAATGTTAGAATGCTTTGTAAATGAACTGCTTAAAGCGAGAATGCACATACATTATTATGGTTGATTGCTTTTAGGATGGCACACAAAATGCACTTTGCTCATAAAGGCTCTCCCTCGGTAACCACTGAATAACTTCTTACTTCTGGCACAAATAGAGACCAAATTATACCAGACATCAGATTAATCCTTGCTTGAAAATTGACCATCAGAGGTTCTGAGATCCATGAAAAATAAAAATATATTGGAACTTTATGTTGAATTTTGGCTTCTCCAGGTAAAAAGAGGAGGGAAGGAATTTCTACTGCTGCCAAACATGGTGAAAACTCTCATTATAAGTGACTCTTGTAAAAAAATCTTTACACTTAAGAGATTTTAGTGTCACTCAACAACCTTTCACTCAGCTGAAGTGTTGACCTTGAAATCTTAGAAGAGAGAATCTCTCTATTCCAGGGAAGAAAATAGTTATCTCTGCACCATGTACATCAGGTTGAGAACTCTGGGTGTTCATATCAGCAGGAATAAACAGAATAACCCTTATCCTGTCCATCCTCTGGCGAACAAATATAATGGTGTGAATACTTACATCAATAACCATGGCTTGATATACTGCTACTGAAATCAGAGATTGAGAGCATAAATATTCCAGAATGTTGGACCTCTGGTTTATAGCCTCTGTGAACGGCCTTCTGCCACTCTGCCCACCCCCTGGAACTCCATTCCGCAATCCCTCCACTTCGCCACCTCCCTTGCCTCCTTTAAGACTCAGCTCAAGACTCTCCTCTTTGACCGTGCTTTCGATCTCCCTGCTTCCCCACCTGCCCTCCACCCTCCTCGAACCTGATCCCCAGCTTGGGTCCGAAACTCTGTCTGTCCAGTGCCTAGAGAATTCCTCCCGATGTGAAAGGCACTATACAAATGTAATTTTGTTGTTGTTGTACTTTGCAATGATTTGAAAGGTATTCAGTGAGTGTTTTATATCATACTGATGTCTTGCAGAGTCACTAAAATCCAGCAAATGTGAATTCATGCTGCATTATACATCTTAAATGATTCTCCCTAATAATCTTATACAGTCTCAAAACTGGCAGTTTATGTCAATAAATCACCAGAAGGAGGTGATTTCTTTTCAAACTATGCTAAAATTTGTTTAGCAAAGTGACAACATCTTTAAGTTTCCTTAAGTTTTCAAGTTGGGCTAACAACTGAAGATAGTATAAATTACTAACAAATAGGTTACTCCAAACCAAACATCTCACTTGTTGCTGCAAAATTGCAATTTAAAGTAAATCTTTCACCATGGATACCCAGTCCTCTTTATTCATTTTCACCGGAGAAAATCACTGTAAATTAAAATAAAAGCACATTTTATTAGCTCAGTGGTCCTCCTTGGGAGGGAGGTAAACTGAACTGGCTCCAATGTGACCTGCTTGGCAACCGAATGTCTGAATCGAGCCAGCCTTCCATGATGGTGTCGGTAGTCTGGTTCCTGAGCCAGGTAGGTCTGCAGTATTCCAGTGGACTTGATGATGATAAGCACAGCCAGCTTGGCTCACCGGCAGCGCTTGGAAAGGCAGGCCAGTCACTGGGGGAAGGAAATCATGCCTCTCAGCTCCTGTAAACTCTGCAAGCCAACGCCCTAAGGGTAGGTTGGTCCTAGCTGGACAAGAAGCGGGAAAGCTTGCCAGACAGAAATATCAATAGGAAGCTACGCGGTTTTACCTGGTTAGAGTCCAGCAGTACCCCAATGCATATTCTGGACTTCCCAAACCTTAGTTTTTGCCAATCTGCACCTAATATTTTCTGAAATGAGGTAAGCAGGACACATGCCTTCAGGGTGAGAGTGCACATTCCATTACACAAATCTATCTCTGGAACTTACATGTGTAGGTGGAATGCAGTTTGGTTTGGATACTCTTAAGCATGATGATATGTCAGACACCCGGCAGATTCCAAAAAACTAGCTAAGTGCCAAATACATTAGAAAAAATACACATTCGTAACTATATGTAAATGTAAAAGGTGACACTTTATTATTTGATTACTTTCCACTTATTTTCCTACAATAAATTCCAGAAGACACTGACTCATTCTGAGGTCATATTCCATGGTCCCTCAAGTGTCTGACCAAAGTCACCATTCTTCATTTATGGTTCCAGATAATGAATACTGGCAGACTATGGGGGTCATCACCAAATCCTTTCCTAACTTATATCCACATGTATACACTTTCCAGAAGAAAGTGTCTGTATAACAATTGGAAGTGAGATTTTCCCATTATTCTAAAGACTTGAAAGCCAAATCCCATCATCACCATCACCTGTGAGCTGAGGTAACATTACACACATCAGTAATTAAACCTGGGATCTTCCTGGTCTGTGGAACTCAGTTTCACACTGGAGTGCCTTTACCAACTTAGTCACTCAGAGCCCCACTTCCATCTTTCAAGAAAAGAATTGCAATATAATCTGAGGTTTTAGAAACCAAACAATTTGTACACAACAATGCTTCTTCATAATTAGAACCAGCAATGACAAATTTGCTCAATTTTCATAAATAGCACAAATACGTAACTGTAAGTATCACAATCCTGTTTACCAGTTAGTAATAAGTGCTTTTTTTTTTACATTTCGGGTACATTTAGAAAACAAGATATTTAGAGAATTGAGAGGTGAGGAATAAAGTTCAAAATACGACAGCCCAGCAGAACACAATATCCAAAGCACAACTGTTTGATAACATTCTGAGAATTGTTTTTTTCTGTCTAACACAAGATTTTTCAGATTCAAAAAANCAGTAGATATCAGTCCAAATTACCTCAGGAAACAATCTGAACACAGAGGTAGAAGCTAGTGATACAAAGGTAAACAGCATACAACCTGGCAATATTAAAGCCAAGAGTATGATGCAGCCCTCACAATTGGAAACAACAGGAAAACAGCTGTATAAACTTAAGATAAATAAATCTCAGGGGCTGGATAAATTGCATCCAAGGATCTTTAAGGAACTACGAGAGAAAGTTGCGAAACCCCTGCACAAATCTTTCAAAAATCACTGAATACTGGAGAGGTGCCAGGGGACTGAAGAAAGGCAGATGTTACTCCTATTTTTAAGAAAGGTAACAAAAGTGACCCAGGAAACTACAGACCACAATGTCCATTGTAGGTAAAATTATGGAGACTCTTATTAATAATAATAACAATAATCCTTGCATTTGATATAGCGCTTTTCACATCTTCCAGACGTCTCAAAGCACTTCAGAGAATATACTGTAAATTATTAAGGATAAAATCATGGAGCATCTGGACAGAAATAAAATCATAAATGATAGCCAATACGGGTTCATGAAGGGAAGATTTTGCCAATCCAATTTACTGGTTTTCTTGATGGTGTGACAACCACAGGAGGTACTCAAATCAAAAATGTTAAATAAAAACTTCATAAGTATAAATCTGTGGATGTATTATATATCGATTTCAGTAAGGCCTTTGACACAGTTCCTCTTGAGAGGCTGGTATTGAAAGTAAAGAAAGCGGGAATCAGTGGAGGTATATTACAATGGATACACAATTGGTTGACCACAAGAACCCAGAGGGGGGTGGTACAGGGAATGTCATCAGACTGGGAAAATGTTATCAGTGGAGTTCCACAAGGGTCTGCTTTGGGACCTCTATTGTTTAATATTTTTATAAATGATGTGGAACTAGGAGTTGCAAGCACAGTGGCTAAGTTTGCAGATGACACCAAGCTAATGAAGGTGGTAGATTGCGAAGCTAAACAGAATAGGTTACAGGAGGATTTGAACATACTTGGGGATTAGGCAGGTCGGTGGCAGATGAAATTCAATGTGGAGAAATGTAAAGCACTTCACATGGGGCCAAAAAATCCTGAAAAGGACTATCATTCGAACAGAAGCAAAATAATATGTATGGAAAATGAAAAGGACCTGGGGGTCCTGATTGACAATAAATTGAAGCTCTCCTAACAATGCTCTGTGGCAGTGAGTAAAGCAAACCAGATGTTGGGATGTATCAAAAGATCAATATCAAGCCAAAATAGTGGGGTAATTCTGCCATTCTATAAATCGTCAGTGAGACTATACTTAGAATATTGTGTACAGTTCTGGTCACCATAGTACAAAAAGAATACTGGAGAAATTGAGAAGATACAGAGGAGGGCAATCAAAATGATTGAGGGAATGGAAGGACTGGACTATGAGGACTGAAAAAGTAAATTGGGCATGTTCACCCTGGAAAAGAGAAGATTGAGATGCGACATGATTGCTGTCTTTAAGACTCCAAAGGGGCAAAACAATATGAAACATGACAGGCCGTTTCAACTTGTCCAGAATAGTAAAACCAGAGGACACGGCCTGCGATTGAAGGGGGGTAATTTCACAACGAATATATGCAAACACTATTTCAATGAGCGAATAGTGAATCTGTGGAACAGGCTCCCTCGGGAGACAGTTGAAGCAGGAAGTCTTGATTCTTTCAAACACAGATTACAGTTTTCTTTTGGGAAATAATATTATGGAATATAGTACATAGGTAGTTTGGGACATATGTGCATGCGACCGCCAGGAAGGTAGAAGGCAAACTAGATGGACCTTAGTCTTTTTTCATCTAGCATTTCTTATGTTCTTATGTTTTTATGTTCCAACAGGTTGAATTCTTAAAAAGTATACAGAAATACCGGCAAATGCAATGCACAGGAGGTACTCAAATCAAAAATGTTAAGTAAAAACTTGAGCTATAAATCATGCCAATGCAGTGAAAAGAAATGGTCTATTACTGCTAAAGCTGCCAGAGAAACATACCACTTACCAAGGGCTTTGGATGCAAAAAGTGCCATGGAACTTTGAAGTCTGTCTGGTCTAAGTGCCTGAACCACCAGAACCTTTGGAAACAAAGTAAATGATAATAAAAATAACAATAATAATAATAATCCATGCATTTGATATGGCGCTTTTCATGTCTTGTAGACGTCTCAAAGTGCATCATAGAATATACTGTAAAGTGAAATTGATTGTATATTTGTGGGCAAAATGCAGCAGCCAATTGCACATTTAAGTGGTTGAAGATGAACACTTTTTTACAGGCAAACACTCTCAGGAACTCAAAAAAATGCCGAATTTCTCAATTGTGTTCAAATCTGCCACATCCTTTTAGCTGCTTTGCCTCTAGTTTCCCAGTCTTCTAAAAACAAAACCTCCTTGGATGTAATTTCGCTTTTTGTCTTTCCAACACAGTATCTCTTATTTAAAAATTGTTTTTGCTACATACTCTGCAAGGTTAAAAAGAAACATGTTGTATGTGATTTATTTTTTTCAGAAAACGATTGGAAAATATGCCTTTCAATTAACCCTTGTCATTGTGAAACTAAATACAAATTATACTGTTTTCCCTTCCAGCATAAAAAGTTGTTTTTAAAGTGAATTGCTTCTTTAGGAAGAAGACATATAGGTGCTTGAGAATTAAGGTTATTGAGGGTTGAGAAATGGGATTGGAAAGATAAGAACTTCCAAGCTGTCATAGAATAATATAATGTGGAATAAGCTCGCTGCACCAAGCAGTCCAAATAAGCTGCTGTCTTTGTGGATAGAAATCTCCTCAGGTTCCTTCCTGGTTTTATGCAGCTCCAAGTGTTATCCTGCTTCATTTCTTTATTTTAAGTTAAATCAAATTTGTGTTGTACATATTGTTTTAGTAGTTTAGGGTTAATAAAACAGTGATGAAGCTATTCCTCACAGCTTCAAATCACCATCACAGCTTATGAGCTGAACAACCGTAAAATCTTTCAACAGGCTGAGATAAAACCATGTATTTATCTTCAAACCTTTCATTCATTTGCTATATCTACCACATCATTAATATTGCACACAATATTGAAACATACCTGTTGAAAGAGAGTGATTCTTTTACTAATAGATAGTGGAAGATCTTGTTCACAGGTTGAACTTCGAGAGAAAGTGAGCCAAAGATCAGTATCTTCTAGGCAGAGCATCTGGTACAATGCCGGGAAGGTAGTCTACAAAATGAATAGTTACTGTTAGTAAGAGACTTCCTGAAATAATTGAAAACAATTGTGGAGATGCTGTTGATATATATCCTAAACCCACAAAGTAAGCCAAATTTGGGAGCTGAGTCATGTGTGAAGACTCCTTAGGTAAAATGCCACAGGGCTGTTAGTATACAGGTTCCAGTTTAAAAGGAAGAAAACAAGGGGAAAAAAGAGCTAAACATCAAAAGCATTTACATTATCCACCATATGAAGGAAAATGATGAAGACAATTCCTGTGTTGTCATCCTGCTTACACTGATACATTTGCCTTTTAAATCCCCCTCAAGCCCATGTCCCACCTTAATGCTGCAAACTCCTCCAACCCACCCCCTCCATAAACCTGGGCCTGCTGCACGTCTCTCACCCGCACCAGACCAGTATTAGCAGCTGAACTTCTAGGTACTATGCCTTCTCTCTCCAAAACTCGCTCCCTGTTTCTCTGTTTCGCTCTATTGCTTTCTATTTTCAAAACCTTTTTAAAACCTACTTCATTTTTGAAACCTACTGCATTCAGTCACATCCTTCTAAGCCTTTCCCCTTAACCAATGCCCACCTTACTTGAATTTCTATATTATCCCTGTAAAACACTGGGCCACGTTTACCATGTGAGAGGTGCTACATAAGTATAAATTATTATAGAAAAACAAACATTGTGACAAAGTTGAGACAATAAATGTTAGACAGATTTAAATATCGATATTTTATATTTATCCACCAGGTTGTTTCAAAATAATTGCTGTATATAGACCCGAAATATGTTAAACATTTCAGAATAACAATCAAAACATGGGCATTAAAACATTCCACGGTCAATTTAATCTTGTTCTAGTGAGGCACTGAGTGTTTTTAATGGATTTTATTGGTATATAAAATCAGAATGAAAACAACTATTTCCCCAAATAAAAAGGAAGGAAGCTTTAACTTCTCATTAAGACAATTTAGACGTTTTGTCCCAAAAGGTTATGTTAACCTTGGTAAAGGCTTACCGTGATCTTAATACAAAAATGTTGAAAAAAACTCAAAGAAATGTCAAAGGATTATCTCCAGGGCACAGCAGGGCAGGTTCCTGGCTCATCGACAGGACTTTGAGTGGCGGGCTGGTCATTGGGCGCAATATTCTTCCCAATCAACTCCTGTTAACCCTGTAACCGTCGTGGCGGTGGTGTGGCCCTCACATCCAGGGCATCACTTGCCCTATCCTCCTACTCCACCGGCTCGACCTGGTGATCACCTGGGGTCTCAACGTCTGGGATGTCACCAACACTGACAAGGCCATCTCTGACCAACATTTCATCTCCCTCAACTCCAATATCTCTCTCCACACTGCATCCAAACCTACCACCATCTTCTACCGCCCATGGAAGAAGATCCCCCAGCAATCCCGCTCCGCTGCCCTAGAGTCCTCTGAACTCCTCCCCCTCTGACCCACCTCTCGCAACAACCCACTCGCTGCACTCTCTTCTCCACAGCACCCTCTCCACCACACTCGACATCCTTGCCCCCCTCACCACCCGAACTGCCTCCTATTCCCGATCCTCACCCTGGTTCACTAGCCACCTCCGCTCACTTAAGGGCCAGGTGCGGTCTGCCGAACGCACTTGGCTCAAATCCGGCCTATCGGTCCACCGCCACATCTGGCTGGACCTCAGCAAGAGCTACTTCACTGCTCTCGCCTCAGCCAAATCATCCTTCTATTCCAGGTTAATCCTGAAGGCGAAGGGCAACCCCAGGCTCCTGTTCTCCACCACCAACCGCTCATCCACCCTCCCTGCCACACCTCACAGATACTTTCCTCTGACTCTCTCTGAGAGAAAATGCTGGACTTCCTCGAATCCAAAATCGAGGGAATCTGCTCAGCTGCCACTGCCCTCCCAACTTCCACCCCCTCCCTACCCCCACCCCACACAATTACCCATCCGACAATTACCCATCCCTCCTTCCACACCTTTGAACCTGTCACCCCCTCCTCTGTCTTCAACACAGTAACCTCCATGAAGCCCACCACCTGCTCCCTAGACCCCATCCCCACCCCTCTCCTTAAATTACAGCTCCATCTCCTTGCCCCACTACTCGCCGACATCATTAACCTCTTCCTGTCATCTGGCACTGTTCCTTCCCCCCTCAGAACAGCAACTATCACCTCCCACCTTCAAGAAACCTTCCCTCGATCCATCGAGCTATCAGCTACCGGCCCATCTCAAATCTCCCCTTCCTATCCAAGCTCCTTGAGCGAGCCATTGCCTCCCAGCTTTGCTCTTTCCTCTCCTCTCACTCCCTCCATGAATCCCTCCAATCGGGTTTCCGTGCTGTCCACAGCACGGAAACTGCTCTGGTCAAGATCACAAACGACATCCTGACCATGTGTGACCAGGGCTCCCTCTGCCTCCTCGTCCTCCTCGACCTCTCCGCGCCTTTGACACCGTGGACCACTCAATCCTTCTCCACCGTCTCTCCTCCCATCTCAATCTTCAAGATTCTGTCCTTGACTGGTTCAGGTCCTACCTTTCACACCGCCTCCACTCCATCGCGGCAAACGGCTTCTCCCCCAGCCCCCGCACCATCTCATGCAGTGTTCCTCAGGGCTCTGTCCTCGGTCCCCTCCTCTTCACCCTCTACATGCTCCCCTTTGGTGACATCATCCGCAGACATGGGGTAAATTTCCACATGTATGCGGATGACACCCAACTCTACCTCTCTGCTTCCAACCTGAACTCCAGGACTACTGGCGTCCTGACCGACTGTCTGCCCGACATCAAGTCCTGAACGAGAGCCAACTTTCTCCAACTCAACATCAGCAAGACTGAGGCCCTCCTGATTGGCTCGTGCCAGCGCCTCCGCACCTCAGGCGCTGGCAGCATCAGCCTCCATGGCTGCACACTCAACCTCACTAAGCCAGTCAGGAACCTGGGTATCTTGTTTGACCCTGAACTGTCCTTTCTTCCCCACATCCGCGCCATGACCGGCACTGCCTATCACCACCTCTGCAACATTGCCAGACTCAGCCACTGCCTCACCCCTCAGGCTGCCGAATCCCTCACCCACACGTTCATCACATCAAGGCTCGATTACGGGAACTCCCTCCTCATCGGCCTTCCCAACTCTTCCCTTCACAAGCTGCAGATCATCCAAAACTCTGCAGCCTGTGTACTCTCATGCACCAGGCTCTGTGAGCCCATCACTCCCACCCTCGCCTGACTCCACTGGCTCCCCATTCCCCAGAGGATCGAGTTCACCTTTAAGACCAACCATGGCCTTGCCCCCTCCTACCTCTCTGACCTGCTGACTCCCTACCAACCTGCCCGCTCCCTCCGTTCATCGGGCTCCGGCCTGCTCCATGTCTCCCACCCATCCCGCCCTACCATCGGTGGCCGGGCTTTCAGCCTCTCTGCCCCTACACTCTGGAACTCCAACCCACAGTCCCTTCACCTCGCTTCCTCTCTTGCCTTCTTCAAGGCCGGTCTCAAGACCCTTCTCTTCAACCGTGCCTTTGGTCTCCCTCCCACCTTTCTACCTTTCCTCACCTCTACACCATCCTTTCCCCATGCTCGGGCCCCGACACCTGATTGTTCAGCGATTTGGGATGTCCTCCCCACGTGAAAGGCACTCTATAAATGTAATTTTGTTATTGTTGTTGCAAGCCAAAGCTTAGGGTGGTCTTAGCTGGACAAAGGAGTGGGAGCTTGGCAGACAGTGCTTTCAATTTCTATGTGATTTTAGCTGGTTAAAACTCCAGCATTACCCCAACCCACACTCTGGGATCCCCAAGCCATGGCTCTTGCCAATGTGCGCTTAATACTCTCCAGAATTTGGTAAGCAGGATACATCCTTTCAGGGAGAGTGTTCACTCCAATACACAGGAATTTCTGTGTGTAAGTGAGAAGCATTGAACTCTCACTTTGGTTTAGTTACTCTTAAACTGGTGATGGGTTATCACATGTGTCAGATTACGCAGTTGACCCAAATCAAATCTTGATGCCAAAATCCTCAAACTGAAGACACAGAGATGCCACTAATTTACAATTGCAATAGCACATTTTAAAAGTTCCATGTTAAAATTACTGCATAGAAGAACTTTTAGAGGAACAATTTAAAAATGTACCTTCAAAACTGCTAATATTCCAACTCTCTCTTGATTGATCCATGATGGAATTGATTCACGTACTGATTTCTGACTATCCTGCAAACAGAGAAGAATTAAACCAAGAGTTTGCTTTAGATTTAATGTCTGAAAGCAGTAAGATAGAAAACCGGAAGGCATGTACAAATTGATAATTACATGGGCTTTGCCAGTCAAAGGGGTGCAGTGCTGGTGACTATCAATTCAGGTTACTGAGAGAAACAACAGAACAATGTGCAGAAACTGTCCTGGCTGGGCAAGAGTTCTTCAGTTTATGTAGTGAAAGTGTATGAGTGGGTATGCATTAGAGTTATGGTGGCCAGCCTTTATGGTCAGCTAACAAAATACATTTTCTTGATTAAATATTTTTTGACTTATGCCGTAAAAACTGAAAACACACAACCGATCAAACACGATCCCTAGACTTGTGCGAATGTTCGTGGCCCATTTCTTAACAGTCAAGTGGGCCATTTCCGGCCCGCGGGCTGCAGGCTGGCCACCACTGCGTTCGAGGATGGAGGAATGTGGTTATGCTAGTTAAGAACCATTTAAGATAGTTCAACAATACTTTTAAATGTCACTGATAGGATACTTGAGGTACAATTATTTTGCACTATTAGTCTGGCGCTTACAGCAAAACTCTTGGGCTGTTTTTGTTCACTAAAGGATTTCAGCTCTCAAACAGAAGAACACTAAAAGCTCTCTAAATTCAGCTATCAGATTCCAACCAAAGGAAAATTAGATCTGTAAGGTTCTATCGATTCTACTCAAGAAATATTGATTATTTAAATTAATTAAAAACTAAAAAGGCAGAAACGTAGAAAGGTACTTACTGATTTTCGAACCATGTCTCCCACAATTAAACCAGTAAATGCATCCCATTCCTAATAAGGAACAAATTAATGTTTAAAGATTTAACTGTATTTTGTCTCTTTTCTGGGTATAGATAACTGCAATTTATTTTTTCCCATGATAAACAATTAGATTGGGCTGAATTAATTTGAGTAGATGCAGTTGTGGAGTCCTGTAGCTCAGTGGTTAGAGCATTCGCTTTGCAAGCGAGAGACCTGAGTTCAATTCCAGGCAGGGCGAAACCTTGGGCAAGTTTCCTTACTCCACACGCCTAATAATAATCCCTCCAAAAACCAAAAACATTAATAAAATTGGTCATTTTCAATCTACGACTGTTTGTGGGACATTGCTGTGCGCAATTGGCTGCCGCGTTTGCCCACAAATATACAGTCATTCACTTTACAGTGTGTTCTGTGAAGCGCTTTGGGACATCCTCCCGACGTGAAAAGCGCTATATCAAATGCAAGGATTATTATTATTATTATACTATCCCAAGATGGTTCAGCAATATTAATGTTAGTATTTTAATATTAGTATATGCTAATTTATCTCAACTGTGTATAGCCATTATTCCAAGCTGTGGACTCCTGTGGCTAAGTGGTTAGAGCACTTGTCTCGCAAGGGGGAGACGTGGGTTTGATTCCCGGCAGGGCGAAGCCTTGGGCAAGTTTCCTTACTCCACAAGCCTGATAATAATCCCTCAAGAAAAATAAATAAATAAAATAAGAATTTGATCACTCAATCCATGACTGTTTGTGCACTGCGTACACTGCTGTACGCACTTTACAGTATATTCTGTGAAGCGCTTTGAGACGTCTAGAGACGTCCAGAAGACGTGAAAAGCGTTATATGAAATGCAAGGATTATTATTATATGTTATTATTTATTATAAGTTGGACACCCAAGACATTGAGGTTCCACTGTCTAAGTGAAAATATTCAATAAGAAAATCTGCAGAATTAGAGCAAGTGCAAAATATTACAAATTATATTTCTTTAAAACCTTTTTATTTCCCTATCATCATGAAAACCAACAAAACGGTACCATTAAAACAATAGATTGTATGCCTTACATTTTCTTGGAAGAGCTCTGGGTGCATTCCACGAACAAAATGCAATGCAAACATAAGTTGATCAGCCTGCAAGAATCAAAAGAAAAACTATTACAGCAAAATACAGATATTTTTATTCTTCAGTTTTTTTGTTTATTGTAATCATTCAAAACAATAGCTACCAATAATCATTAAGAATGAATAAAATTACCTGCTTTTTTTTAAAGCATCTATAACATTGAAATTTCTGAAAGCTCTTCACAGTAATTGCTGTCATGTGTGGAGATTGTTTGTTAGGGGCAAACACAGCAGCTATACAGCAAAGTATAATGTTTGAGAATTGTTTTCAAAAGTTTTATAGGTTTCATCGATTAGTGTATCAGAAATAATACAAATGGAATATTGAACACTGCTGAAACGTGGTATACTAGACACGCATTATCCACCAATGCATTATTAACAAACTAAAACATTAGGTACAAATCACTAATACTGTTAGTAGAAATGGCAGAATCCACTTAATAGTAAACGCAAATATAAAAAATTCTCATTGTAATGAAACATTCCTACATCTCAAGCTGTTTACCACACTATTGCTTCAAATGACACATTTTTTTAATGGTGACAATCTGAATTCTTTAAGGAGCAGTCTAATGTCTCAACAGGATCAGTAAAAATGATAAACTGAGCACAGAACAATTTAATCAATTACTTTAGAAATGGAAAATAGTCATCCCAATACCTATCTGCAAGATACCTGCAAGTTTCAGCCAGTTTTCATTCAGAAGCAGAGTACCCACAGTGATCTTTGAAAACTGTATCAGCACCAAGATTATAAACAGTTCAGACTATGCTGATTGACCAAATGTAAGTGCAATTTCCATTCCAAACTGTTAATCGCTGATACAGGCAACTGTTGATATAATGAATTATAGATAATATCGATTTTGGATTAGGAGTAGCATTTATAGTATTGATTTATCAATACAGGATAATGAATCAGTATAATTGGGTTTTAGAATTAAGGATTCAGTCAAGCAATGCATAATACTTTTCAAAATAATTCACCTTTAAACTCAATGTTTCACCTTTTCAGAACCATATTATACAGTATTATAAAGCAAAGAGGTGCAACTGATCATTAATGCAATATCAGCACAACCCAACTCATTCTGTCTGCACAGGATTATCAAAAGAGATTACTTCTTCATTGATTTTTCATGATCAAAAGCATGCTTTTTAAAATGAAAAATAAAATACTACTGGAAAAAGCTTAATAAAATTGCTGCACATTTTTTCCTGTAATTCTTAGTTGATGTAATGATTGGCAGTCAATTATATCAGCAATTAGATGTTACACCACCACTAGCTCACAGTATGATTAAAGAATTGACATCATTTTAGCAGATTTCCAAACCTGGAGATGCTATTTTGTTTAACATCTTCATAAATGACCTGGAGCTGGAAATCACAAGCACAGAGGCTAAATGTGCAGATGACAAGAAAGAAGGTGGTAAACTGCAAAGATGAATAGGATAGGTTACAGTGGGACTTGAACATACTTGGTAATTGGGCAGATCGATGGCAGATGAAATTTATTGTAGAGAAATGCAAAGTGCTTCACATGGGGACAAAAAATCCAGAAAGGGACTATTATTTAAATGGAAAGAAAATAATCTATACGGAAATACAAAGGGAATCCTGATTGATAATAAATTGAAGCTATCCCAACAGTGCTCGGTAGCAGTGAGTATGGCATCCAGATGCTGGGCTGTATTAAGCAATAGTGGGATAACCCTGCCACTTTATAAATTATTGGTGTGACCACTCTTGGGAATACTGTGTGCAGTTCTGGTCACTGCAATATGAAAAAGGATATTGCAGCAATTCAGAAGATACAGAGGAGGGCAACCAAAATGATTGAGGGAATGAAGGGACTGGACTACGAGGAGCAATTAGATAAACTGGGCATGTTCACACTGGAGGCTAAGGTCTGATATGATTACAAGTTTTAAGATTCTGAAGGGAATAGATAATGTAGACCATGATAAGCTGCTTTATCTTGTACTGAACAGTAGAACCAGAGGATCCGCCCTGTGATTGAAGGATGGTAAATTCAGAACAAAGCTGAGGAAACCTGCAGTGAAAGAGTAGTAAACATATGGACAAGGCTCCCTCGGGAGACAGTGGAAGCAGAAATTGTTGTTTGTTTCAAGAATAAATTAGGTAGATTTCTGCTGGAAAATAATCTCTGTCCTCCCTGCTCCAACTCCACGCCCTGCTTTTTTCTTGTCACTCATAACTGTCTCAGTGCCTTCACTTTGTCTCTTCCAATTGTTTCTCCTCCTCCTCCCCCCACCCCACAGTCACATGCAGCATTCTTTAGGGTTGTATCATGGTCCTCTCCTTTTCACCACCTATACGCTGACATTTGGAGACATCATCCACAATCATGGGGTCCATTTCCACACATAAACAGGTGACGCCAATCTCTGCTCTCTCTTTCTCATCTTTCGACTCCAATCTCTCTGTTTTCACCTTCAACTCCTAGACCAACTAGTATGTATCATCCAGGTGGGTCGGGGCGGGTTGTGTTAAACCCCTGGTTCCTGAGTTGGGTGGGTCCGTAGAACTCCAAGGTACTGTTGATGACAAACCGGCCAGCCTAGAACTTGAGTGGGAAGCAGAGAGGGCAAAGATTCTCTCATGCCAGGCTCCACTAGCCTATCACTCGCATCCTCATCAGGTTCCAATGGATCCCCTTCCCCCAGTGGATCAAATTCAATATCCTGTTCCTTACATTCAAAAATCCCTCCATGGCCTCACTCCATGTTATATAAATACAATTTGTTGTTGTATCGTATTTCTATATTCCTATCCCTGCATCCTTACTGATTCGGCTGCTCTCTCTACTTAGCAAACACTGGCCAGCTTCATGTCCCCCGTCTGATGTGCCCCATCATCAGTGGTCAAGTTTTCAGCCATTCTATCCCCGCTCTCCCTCCCAGAATCTCTTTGCCTCGCCTTCTCCTGCTCCAATTTAAATGCTCACCTTAAGACCTAGCTCGTTGACCACACTCGTTGTCCCTATTTCTCCCAGATCAGAATCCAAGTCAGCTTTGTGAAGTCCCTTTGAGAATTTGGCTTGACTAAACTGTGTGTTCTCTCCATGTGAGTTATGTTTTTTTTTAAATAGACTCCCCAAGTACAAAATTAATTACCAAAAACGTCTGCCCTAAAATTAAAGAAAATAAGGATACTTCATAGTTGGGTGGAGTTGACAGAATCATGTTTGTTAGTTTTTCATATATCTGAAAGAGATTCTGACTAAACTAACAAAAGATCATGGTCACATTTTCTGCATGGACAATCAAAGGGATCAGCAGCCCAAAGACACTATTGATATTGATAACTATTTGTGAATGAATGTTTTGAAATTCATGCCCATAAAACTAAGAGTTGGCACTTGCCTACTGAACAGTCAAAGTGATTACAATCTCTTATAACTAATTATAGCCATGTGCTAAACCTCTATTTATCAAAGACTGCAGATTATAAGGAAAGACCATTCAATATGTAAATCTAAGACAACAAAGCAGAAATAATAGACTAAGAGTGCCAGAAATTCAGCTTCTTTAATAACAAGTGTGGTTGATTGCTGTGTGTAAATTGGATATTGGGTTCTCCTACAAAATACAGTCATTGCCCTTTACAGAAAATCCTGTGAAGTGATCTGAAACATCCTCCAGATGTGAAAGACACTATATCAAATATGCAAAGATTATTATTTATTATTATAAAGCTTAAAAAAATTAGATAATAATTTTTACAGTTTATATATAAAAAATATAGGCCCTAAAGCTGTGTAAAACTAGCAAACAACAACAAGGGAGAAGGGGAAAAGAACTGAAGGAAAGGAGAGGATGCTAATTTCATGGTAAAATCAATTCTCATGTTCCAGAGCATATGTGCACATAAATATAAAATCTCTTTTTTGCACAGATGAGTTGTCCTCTTTATCTAGCTCCATCCACTAACATCTATTACTATTTCTGTGGGAACTGAGAAGGCATCAGGGAATGAGTATTCCTCTAGAAAAAACAGAGATACTAACCTTGTCCATCCCAATTCCTTAACATCCCAGAACCTTATATAGGAAATAATGTGTTTGTTAAAGAGGCCATGAATAAAGGGAGTTCTGGGAATACTCAGATGTACACTGCCATGGGTTAGGTACAGTTGGTGGAGCAGGTGGTGTTTCTAGTTAGATTATTTACATTGGTTTGGGAGCAAATTTGCAACCATCCCATTTGTTGCTTCAAGATGCAAGCATCCAAGACATATATGTATGGCATGTATGTAAGCCAGCATCATTAATTCTGTTCCACGTCAGTCTTTCAAGGCTAGAAACGTACACTGTGGACACTTAGCTCGTGTCCTCTCCCGCACTAGGCGCCATGACCCCATCACATCCACCCTCGTCCAGCTCCACTGGCTCCCCATCCCTCAAAGGATCAAATTCAAAATCCTCATCCTCACCTTCACGGCCCTCCACAGCCTTGCCCCTTCCTACCTCTCCATGCTGCTATACCCTTATCAACCTGTCCGTCCCTCCAGCCTGCTCCATATCCCCCACCTAGCCCACCCCACCATCGGCAGTCGAGCCTTCAGCTTCTCTGCCCCTCTCAAACTCCATCCAACATTCCCTTTGCCTCGCTCCCTCCCTCGCCTCCTTCAGACATGCCTCAAGACGCTCCTCGTCGGCCACCTTCCTTCCCTCTCTGCCCTCCACTTTCCCTGATCTCAGCCCCAGCTTGGGTCCAAATTCCTAATCCCTGACTGCTCAACTCCTTGAGATGACCTCCCGATGTGAAAGGCGCTTTACAAATGTAATTTTGTATTGAAATTTTGTATTGTATTCAGCATGCTCATCTCCAGAATGAAACTGATTCTAGAATTTCCAGGCACATTTATTGACTTCTCCCCTTAACAAAATTCATGTAAAGGGTGTTCTTACTTTGTACCAGTTGTAAATGTGCAAAACGATTTTCCTAAACATTACACTTTTATGCATTTGTTTTGTTTGC